ATATCTTGTAGCGTGTATACTATATATTACTGGCTCTACAGGCTCGCCAGATTATTCATTAAGATGCACGAACAACCAGGGAGGGTCTTCATCACGGTACAGACCCATGTTAACTAGACTCTCGCCATTTATCTTATTCTGTATAAAATACTGTTTATACTGGCGTATTGGATGTTCCCTATCTATCTCAAACCTACGTTTAGCGTTTAATCTAACATCAAATATGGTGTAATCTTTAACTAATTGATTGGCTGCTTCCTCTTAAAGGGTCCCCGCCAAAAATTTGGAATCCATCAATCTGAAATAGATCCTGGCCATGACTAGCGTGAACGGGAAGTTTAACAGTTGTCCAGACAGGAAAACTAAAATGGGATTGTAATACGGGTGGGGTTGGGAGGGGGTCGAGCGAAGAAAATGAAATGGGGTTTAATGTCCTACTTTTCTGCACCGACTGGGCTATTGGAGACGGGGCCGATGGAAGGGGGGCGCGGTCTTCTGTGTCAGATAATGTCGGAATGGAAGTATAACCCCATACGCTTCATAATGTTTCGTTTGATAAATCTACACCCTGCACCACTGTTTCAAGACATAATTTAACACCCACTAGACACAGCAGACTAGGTCATTTCGGGTCTAACTTATAGTACAATTTCATTTTAATAATTCGCTAGTGCGTAGGGGTCTTTAGAAGTGTGAAGACACCCGAGGACCCGGCGATAACTTACTAATTATTGCAGTTAATTGTCCACCACTAACGGTGGTATACAGACAACTCATCCCAAGGACTACTCATTCCAATATAAGACAACTCATTCCAAGTTAGAAGACAACTCATCCCAAGTTAGAAGACAACTCATCCCAACTTTAAAACATGGATCGAGATATAAGACAAATATAAGTGCTAGTTATATTTGTCTTAATACAATTGCTTTCTTCGAAGACCACTTTCTTATTTTAATCAAATTGATATTGATGCTTTGTTTTAATCAAATTGGTGGTTGTGTTTGACTGTTTGTAGTTGTGTTTGTTTTCTCATTTCATCATGAAGCACTTCAAAAAAAAAAAAATCAATTAACAAAACATTGATTAACTAAACTGAGTAGTAGTACTCATACACGGCTGTGCTTTTCTTTGGGGTCAGGCAGTTTGGAGAAATGAAATGAAATGAAATGGATTTTAACTGACTCTACCCTTTCTACCTGCGGAACACATACTACCTATTTTCGATATATTAGCTACCAACCCAGATCAAAATTAATTTAATATATTACTGACCCAGTTGTCTTTTATCTTGGAATGAGTTGTCTGTTATCTTGGGATGAGTTGTCTTCTAACGTGGGATGAGTTGTCTTATATTGGGATAAGTTGTCTTGGAATGAGTTGACTTTGGCATGAGTTGTCAGGTATTCCTAACGGTGACTTATTCAGTCGAGTTCGTGACGCTTTAACAAAGATATTGAAACGAGAATCAAAGTAGTGGGGGAGAGAGAGAGAGAGAGAGAGAGAGAGAGAGAGATGGGTTTAAAGTCCACTCGACACAAGCCAGGTGCTTTCGAGACTAACATGGTTCAATTTTATTTCAATAATTCGCTTGCGCGTAGAGGTCTTTAGCAGTGGGAGGAAACCGGAGGACCCGGAGAAAACCCACGAGGTTGGACAGGGGCGACCCTACTCCTTGTCACGTACAACCGAGGAAGCGAAACCATGCCAGTTGACCCAGTGACAGACCTTATGATACAACGCGCGCTAGCCATTCGGCCATCCAACCCCCAAGTACATCTAGTGGGGAAAACGTAACTATCAGTGCAGTTGGCATTAAAAGACCTAACAGTAAGTCAGAATGCCGACGGTTCCATGAAATCCTTTTGTCCTCAACAGTTATTATAGCTGTTTTAAGATCCATAAACTCTTCACAATAAAAAAAAAACAGACATGACACAGACTTCCGTAATTGATAATCGATTCTGCATGCTTGTATTGGTCAATGTTTATATATAAATCATAGGACTTGTACGACTTTATTTATAAGGAGTATAAATCTATAAACACTTATAATTGATCGGGTCAAAAGGTTTCAAGTCTCTTTTAACCAGTAATATACACGTTAATTAAAGTGGTATATAATTGTTGTTGAACGAGCAAACCTATTTTAATATCAAGTGTTTATATGGGTTGATCTGGCATGTTATTTCAACTAAAATAATGTAACAAGTTCTATGCTATAAAATATTTCAAAAGATTAAGCTCAAAAACAGTTGTTTCTTAATATTATTTCATTTTTAGCTATTGTGTCCACGCTAGAACATTACAATCAAATGTATCTTTTTCTATGGACGTAAAACATTTGAACGAAGCCAGATCGTAATCCGACAAAACAAATCTAAACAAATATAATATCCTATGACCAGATCCGCCGTGAAAGTTCCTCGAATTTTTCGGCGTGGTGTCCGATTGCCAGTGGTACAGGACGGAGTGTCTGGCAACGAACAACCTCTAGACGTTCGGATGGGACCAAAAAACCAAGTTCGGTAAATATTTAATAACGTTCTACAATTTCTAAGAATGTCAATAATTGTTAGTCATACTCTAGATCGTCTCTCGCCAGGCAACCGCCATGGAATCTGATAGCAAATTTGTTCTTATGTTCCGTCCACACCTGTAGGGCCTTTAAATGACCACATGTTCTCAAAAGATATAACTTTCCACCCTTGTTAAAATATCAAACATCGTTAATTTAATACTGATGTAGAAGATCGTTGTGAATTATTTATATCCTCCAATTGTTTGCATCACGAAAGTGAAATGATTGCTTTACATACTGAAGATGACCTTTTGGGTGGTTATTTCGACGTTGTTAAATATTCGGGACAACTACAATTGGAGGAATAACCATCAAGTGATTTGTGTCTTTTTAAGGGAATCGCCTTATATCCAAATCGGTGTTCAGATGGCAATATCTATACAGCAAATTAATTTAAACAGCTGATCTTTTCACAGGTTGCTATTTGAATTGTAGTGATTAAAGTGAGTAAATCATTTTGCAAACAAACAGAATTGACATCCTGATATCGCTCTGTGTCCCTGTGAATTAGTTTGAATGCTCACTAAACATATCCCACATTGACATGTTGAACAAGTAATCGTAAATGTGCACTGGCTATTGAGCTACTAAATTTCAGACGCGAAACTAAAAACAAATTCAACCACGATATTTTTATTTTCTAATGAAGACAACAAATAAATTTAACAAATGCAAGTTTTAAAGACTCGTCATGGGATAAAGATGAAACAGATAGATATACACAATCAAAGTACCTTTGTTTTAAAAAAAACAACATTTCTGTCCAAATGTATTCAAATCGATCAATTCTAAGTAACTTTTGAAGTATCAACATTTGGCAAAACGATTACCTCTTGAATTAAATTCCTCCCCCTACAAAAAACATGTAAAAGTTGGCACAAAGAAATGGTGAAAGCTGCGAACAGCCAAACGTTAACTGTCTTAAAGTAATTTATGAGTTCATCTTATGTTTTAAAAAAGTTTATTGACGGAAAGGATTCCAAAATGATTTGATGGGAAGATTCTGTTATTAAAAGTCACAATTTCTTCTCTGATATGGAGCCATAAATGTGTATTTAAATTGCTGGGCAATAAATTGTTATTACACTAATCTATGAAAACAAAGGTTGGAATTATATTGCTATACGGGCAGAAAAATTATGATGGAATCTTATGTGGCTGATCATTGTTCCTTCTGTCGCTTATTCATAGAGTCTCCAGCACTTGAATTGAAAGATTTTCTCCCTGCTGGGAACAATTAACATAGTTAATTGAGGAGAACATAATTAATGAACATGCTATAGTATTCCCAGCGACATATATAATGTAAATAATTATTATGAAGTTATTGGGTGCGTGGGGGATAAACGTTATGTTAATGTCATGTGTCACGTGTTAACGGGGGATGAAATGTTGACTATTCTTGAAGGCGGGGGTGTTGGAGAGGCCCCTAGTGATCAAGTACTCTCCGACATGCCTAATAAAACTAAAAGTAACTTCCCCAAATCCTCCCTTAAAAAAGATAAAAATCCTAAAACAAATCTATCGAAGGGCGAATTGGACCGCGCTCCGAAAAATATCATTTTTGTTTACTAAAAGCTAGTTACGAACAATAATGTACCGTTATAGATTGCCCCCCCCCCATCTCCCACGCACAAAAATCATTAACCCGCTTTAAAATGGTCAATTGAGTCTAATGCATGAGTTGTCAACCCTTCTCTGTCCCAAATATTATCCGTAGGATTACAAAAGTGCCATATAGCTTAAACAGACTAACTTAAGATACAATGTATAGAAAAATTATTTGTTTTAACCTCGGTGGCCTAATGTCGGACTTCATAAAAACTTTGTGATACCATCTTGTTCGGTAATCGATAGGGGGAGAGGTGGGTGATTATGAGGTGTGACACATGGAATGGTCAAATGTGACACTTGTGGTACCATGTTGGCCACCTGTGGCACTGTAATTTAGAGAGGCATAAAACATCAAGCCACATGGATTACCAGACTAAAGTCTTCCAGTTTGAGAGAACATATCTCAAATTTAAATAGAATTAAATTACTATAATCCTTAATGGCGCAAAGATAAATGTAGGTTTTGGCTTAGTGTTGAATGGATAAAAAGTTATCAACATTGAGAAAAATAAATCAATTAAAAAAATATGAATTAAAAATTGTAATTAAATGTCACTCAAATTCAAAATATTATATCAATTTTAAACAAATGTAATTAAATCTTCGTCTAATTTTGAATCCGATATAGATGTAAAACTGAATAGGTATTTTCTCATGGTGTATTAGTTTATATATCCAAACACGTGTAGAAAAAGTTTTCCACTTCGAGATAAAACGGCTTGATTTTATGACTGAAAAAGTACAATGTACGTCCTCAATATTCAGGACATTTCAAAGTTTTTAAGGAATTAAAATGATGGCTTACCTTCGTGTAAAAGTAAAATCCCCAGAACTATAAAAGAAATGTTGGACGCCATATTGTTAAGGTATAGTTCCTCGAGAACACATGACAAAACAAACACACACGTTACCCAGAACACTAGTAAAAACAGCACGCGCCATTCCATCGACCGACAGACGTGATTCCTGTAAAGTGTTCGTAGACTCCTTACAGCGCATGTCATCGATGTAGTGGATATAACGGGTTGTTGTAGAAATACTACAGCAATATTATCGGGACTTAAGCTTCATATTTTTGACAATGAAAGAAAATTTTCGATTTTCATGAATATGTTTATTGTAATACCAGTCGACACATTAAAACGTGACCTTTGTTGCATTTTCCATTAATGGATTGTACAGGCTATGGCGGAACGATAACTGGTAATTTTCAAATGGAAAAAATAGAAACCTGACTAACAGTTATTTTTGACACACAAAATAAACAAATATGTCCGATTTACAAAACAAATCTCCATTTTAAAGCCTGGCGACGCCACATTGAATAATCAGCAATACTGATGAGGTCACTTATATTATACTATTCAGTCTTTGATTATGGATAGTGCATTGATGTGATCCAACTAGCTGTCTTTAGTATCTGCGTGTGGGAGTACTAGCAGTAAAATATTCCTCAGCAATATAATTTTGTTACATTCTAGACACTGTATTGATGATTTCAGAGGGGTTTACGAGAAATATTCTTTTTTTTTCTTTTTATTTGTGGTGTTTTAAACGTGCGCTAAAATATCAAGAAATGAAATGAAATGAAATGGATGTTTAACGTCCTACTGTTCTGCTCTTATACTGGGCTAATGAAGGCGGACAATATCAAGAAGTAGCAGTTGCCTCGAATTCCGAACTAGATTTCATTATATACGAGTTCATCGTCATCCGTAATATGCGGTGGAGGCATTGGGGAATGGTTTTGAAATTTGACCTGAAAGAAATAATACTCCAAAATTTGGAATTCGTTACTATCAAACACGGTTGAAACCTCTAACTGTCTATTTTTAATAAAATTCGAAATGTAAAAACATGAATTTGAATTCAATATTGGTCCATGTCAATCAATATTGATTTTGTTATGTTGTCGGGAAAACTGGGGATCCTTATATCCAATATTTAAGACATAAAAAAAACATTTTAAAATCAGTACACGAGTCGTTTATTCTATGGTTTTGGGCGCCATTTGCAATAAAAAAAAGAAAAACATACCCTACAAGACAATACAGAAGTAATTAGTAAAGGCTGGTTCACAAATGACAAAATGATTGTAAAAACAGGGAATTAAGCAGGCGCAAAAGACTACAGTTCAATGTGGACTGTTCATGTATTTCATCGAACACAATTGATTAGCAATTATAATTAAAACATTTCAAATTGAATATAATCACTATATACATTCAAGTTACATTAAGTGAGCTTTCACACCCATTCTCGTCTATTTTAAGGTTCCAAAGAATAAAGCCATACGCCAAATAAAAGAAGATTGTGCGACAATTGTAACCTTGTCGAAAAGGTTTGAATTCAGAATAGTATCTTTTACCGACATTCTCCGACAAAACAATGTTGTATTTGATATTTGTTAATATATTCCCAAACACATTATATAATTCTTCCGTAAAAAGATCCAACTTCTCTGGGCCCATCCCTGGTATATCACATATCAGAAAACGGCCACTAAATAAATCAAATTAGTCCAAAAAGTTTGACGTTCTTCTTACCTTTCGATGGCTATGGTGAGTCATGCATAAAAACAGCAGACCTGTCACGATACTTCTCCATTTGTCGCTGCCATGGTGGTATTATGATAGGCACAATTTACAACATACAATACTAAATGACTTTGTATTAATTTCGTTGAACGGACTGAGAGACATATTTGGAAACGTATAAAGGAATAACCTTTCGATAAATTTATAATATAATGTGCTTCAGGGATGGGGGGGGGGGCGTGTTAACATTCTCAAGACGTGTGTAGCCTGATAGCCTGAAAGGTTAAAAGAAACTTAGATACAAAAAAGCAGCAATTATGGTCACTTAAAGTGGTCGCTGTTTTCGCGGAACTTCTAGACCAAACCGAGTTGATGGCTGTAATTGAGATGATAACTGTAATCCATCGTGTATACAGCTTTGTGCTATTCAGTGCTCTGTTGAATTGCACTACCTCGGCGAAGACTATGGCTGTGTAGGAGCATGATTTATCAACAAAGCATAATGCAAGTTTCAAACTTTCTTATTTTATTCGGCTGTAATTAGACACATACTAGACAGGCAATGGGTCGGATTCAGTCCCAGGGGCCGGTGGAATTCATATTAACCCTAGAGAACGGACACCGCATTCAAACCGATCCGTCATTTGTGTCAAATAAAAAAATCGTTCATTTTTCCAGTTCGGAGCCTAAATTGTTTCTTAACACGAAATATTGCAATCTTTTCGCATATCGAGAAAATTAGATTTTTTCTCCCTTAATCTATCTCGCAATCCATCAATTTACTTTTAAGAAACTGGATGAAAAAGCTAATTGTATTGTCGATTAACATGACGTCAAAAAATAACAATAAAGTCGGGCAATATTTATATAGGTATTAGACAATCTTATAGATTTATTTTCATTAAGGTTCTCTCCTTACACTGTCTGCTTAACTTAAGGTTTAGGAAGCAATGTAGCAGCGCATGTTTGAAAATTACAATACTGACCCATTTTGTGATACCATTACTGAGTCTGGATAAACAAAACTCCACTCAGTCGCGTGCCTTTCGGGGGTGGGGGTGTTGTTTTCCCTCAAATAATACAAATTGCTGTCTTTCAATTACCTCTTTGCAAAATTAACAACCGGAATAGAAAAGTCGCGCTAGCAGGTCAATGAATGACAACTGAAATCGAAAATTCAAAAAGTTCTGAAAACTGTTGGTGATCCTTTCCAAGAGGCTCAATATTTTGTGCTGAAACTGGTCGACATGGTCAATAGGCAATTTCATTTTTGCGTTTTATTTTCAGATTTAAGATATATTTTTTTTCGGATCCCCATTGAAATTAACTCTTCTCGTGTAACAGCAGTATCTACCACAGTAGATCAGTAGTATTTAGTTAACCTCATTATGTTATATAGTCTCTAACCTCGTAAATCAAACCGGAACAGAACAATAGGACGTTAAACCCCATTTCATTTCATAAATTAAACAGATATTTTAAATGGGATTGTTAGTCTAAAATAAAACCGCACGGTTACATGAAAAATGGATGATGTTAAAATATGTTGCGAAATAAAACGTGTCAAACGGGAAAGAGAGGGGAATGGGGTTTAACGTGAATCGACACAAACCAGGTAATTTTGGGAGTAACACATGGTTCAATTTTATTTCAATAATTTGCTTGCGCGTAGGGGTCTTTAGCAGTGGGAGGAAATCGGAGGACCCAGAGAAAACTCACGAGATTGGGCAGGCGACCCTACTCTTTGTCACGTACAACCCGGGAATCGAAACCACACCAGTTGACTCAATGACAGACCTTATGATACAGCGCGCATTTGCTGACCATTCAGCCATCCAACGCCCCGTCAAACAGGGGAACCGGGTCTAATCTAACACGAGTCTTGTACTAGCCCTTTGGAAAAGTCTGTTTGCGTGCAATTTTCAGCCTTTAGTTGGTTCTAAGCCTCGATTACAAATGTATTCCTTTAAATTCCTGTTTATTCTTTAAATACTGATTACAAACGTTTGGTGGACAGATAACACCATAATTTCTAGAAAGGTCGCCTTATTTTGAAACAATGGACATTATCATAAATGTAATTAAAGATGCGTAGGAACTAAATCTTTCTTTTGGCCTCAAATATTATATGAATTATTAAACAACTCTCTAGTTCTCGGGTGGTTGCGATTATCAAAGGATTTAAACATAATCGTCATTTAATAATTTAATTCAAAAACGGATAACCTGGACTGTGTTTATTATCGTAACAATGGAACTTGACAATTGATACTACATTGTGGAAACTTCAAAGACTGATAACCTCCCTCAGAATAAGGCCCGTTTTCCATGTACGCGCTTTCGCAGGTGAAAAAGTCGGTCTAATGCAATGGGACCATTTTCATGTACCCGGTGTAGTACTATTATGGCAAGATTCTTGCTAAAGAACACATATGTATAATAATATTATGGACTTGACTAATTATTGTTAACAGATTCAGGGTAGGATTAAGCACGAGACTGAAGCTGTGCTGGGGGAAAGAAGGGCAAGAAAAAAAACCGAGAAAAAGAAAAACAGATGCAAGCAGGCCGAGGTTTTTCTTTCGAGGGTTTTTTTCTGAAGTCTTCCTTCCTCAAACTTTCAGAAGAATAACCTCAAATTCCAGTCCGCATGTTATTCCGAGCATATAATAATAACCTATAGATCAAATCTGTGATAATATGATACATGAATCGAACTTTAGGTTAATAAACACATTTGTCATATGTCATCTACATGGTCAGGAATGGAATGTGTCTGTTGACCAGGAGTAATAGTCCCTGTTGGTATGCAAGGTATGAGGTATGACCATTCCATATTTGGCTGATTCGTGACGTAATTAGGCATTGAGTGACCAATCACATAATTGATTTCAGAAGTCAAGGCATATAAATGCGAATACATTTCAGAAAACCATGTAGATTAGAAAAGAAAATGTAGCAAGTTCTATCAGCAGACTCGCTATGGCGAGTTCGAATGGGAGTGAGATAGAGGGAATGGGTTTTTTTTTAAAATCTATGCCTGTAACCTATGTTATTCCTGTGATCATAATCTGAGCAAGCTACAAAATCCACATCTAACCAGCAACTCGTAGCACGGCATATCACCCTATATTTGATTTTGTTGCATAGTGCTACACCGGCGAAAATGACACAAAAACGCGCACATGGAAAACGGGCTTACGGTAATACGTTAATATGTTCAATTACTAAATGCTAATCAAAGAAGGGCTTAAATGAAATGAAATGGGGTTTAACGTCCTACTGTTCTGCTCCTATACTGGGCTAATGAAGACGTGCATACGCCATACAGTGTGCACTATCGCCTACTCTTATATCGAATTCCAACTGCCAAGGGATCTTTTACGTGCATTCCACTATTTACACGGGACCTC